GCATTTGGCTAAAACTCTTAAAAACTCTTAAACTCTTAAACCCGCTCATCCCTAAACGATTTCATCCCTATCCGATTTCATCCCATAACTGAATTCGTGTAACTAACTGCAGATAAACACAATCCAATACAGGATAAACAACGGTATAAGGGATTTTCTAAGTTGTAATTTCTAGGGTTTTGTCCAGTGGCAATCCAGGATTTTTGCTGAGCGGATGCACTTTTAAGATGGATCAAAGGCTCGTGAAGTCGTTTGATGTGTTTTAAGGAAAATGACAAGGTTTCGAAGAATTTTTGCTGAGCGGGTGCACATTTGATTGTTTTCCATGAACTTTTTCGGTTTTCGTGATTGATTATGAGGGATTTTTTTGCTTCATGTTGGATGTATTTTTCGCTAATAAACTAGAGCATTGCTCAACATTTAGTGTGTGCACCTTTCTTACCCAAAATAGTTTTTTAGTTGTGAACATCTCTCGAGCAGTTGCATCTTTCATACCCATTTTTTTACTTGCGAAAAAATTAGTTGAGCAGGCATACAAGACCCTGCTCAGCAACTCATAGGTCCGCCCTTTTATCATGCCATGAAAAGACTTACGCGTAAACTAACCTGGACATTTACAGTTAAAAAACAAAGCATATGCTTTGGGATTGGGCGTCACACTACTAAACATAACAAGATATGTACAATTCAGTATTGATAATTATATGAAACAATACTACTAAATGAAAGACTACTACCCACAGATGTTTCCCTGGCAAATTCGTCGCTAAAGGGGTGATTTGTCAAAACGTCACAAAGGTTGGTGGCGAATTATTGGTGGGAGGCTCAAATCAGCGACAGATAATCCATATGTTTTATGGGTGATTTGTTGTTTTTTTTTTTTTTTTTTGAAAAACATCAGAATCTACCGAAATTATTGGTATTTTCTGGGTGATCCATGAGTAATTATTAGCGGAAATTTCACTGGTCGAAATCATTTATTTTATAGTGATATAATTTTTTCATTCAATCAAGGAAAAGTAGAAGAGATTGTTAATGTGTCCAAGATGGATTTATTAGGTGTTGTTTGTGAGACTTAATTTTTGTATGGTTTAAAATGGGATTAAAGTAGTTTAATTGAAAGCATTTCTATATAACTAATTATTAGACAAGTTCAATTAAATTTTCTGAACATTCACAAACAGCAAAAGAATCAAGTCTTTCTAAATAAATAATGAATTTTAAAAATGTAATTTAATTGAGATCATGTGAGGGTGTAGAATTTTAATTGAATTTGCTAAACAACGTTCTTGTACATTTGGAAGGCCTTTACAAGAAGATCTTTACTGATATCTGGGTTAGAATCAAACACTGCATTTACAATGGTAATGGCACCTAGATTATGGCTACTCAAAGCGGCAATAACAAGAGCATAAATGTTTCCAATGTTCCTTTGGAAGTGAACTAGACCTTGTGGGAAGACAAAAACATCCCCCTTCTGAAGGTCTTTAGTGATGAGACGGTTTTCAGGGTTAGATGTAACAAAACCAACTTTAATATTGCCTTCTAGGACCGTCAAGATTTTAGTGGCCCTAGGGGGTGTGTGTGTGTGTGGAGGGTTAATATCCGATGGAGCAAAGTCAATACGAGCCATTGAAATACCAAAAGTGTTAAGTCTCGGTAACTCTGCTACAGTCACAGTAGTCACATTAGAGCCAACCGCATTTGATGTATCTCTCATAAGGTGGAGCCCACTAAAAAAGAAATCGTCCGCTCGCACAAGCTTTGGATCTTTGCATACCTCACCATTCACGAATACTATTAAAAAAAGCAGAAAACTGATCATAAACACATAACAAATACTACAAATTTCCAGATAATTAACATTTGAGCATTTTTCAACATTTAAAGATTATATTTTTTTTACCTCTACGTTTTGGTACAGCTACACAAAAGTCTTGGAGAGGATTTGAATCTGAAGCCATAGCAAGTGAACAACTCCCCATGAGGAGACCGATTAAAAAAACAAACGAGATGTCATTGTTGGGAAGTGGAAACTTGTTCTTGTTGACTCGAGAAATATATGAGATAAAGTATGCAACTTTGTGATGTCTTTATATAAAAAATAATGAAACATAAAAAACTGCTTAGGTAATATGACATATTTTTATTAATAAAAAACAGTATGACATTGACAAATTCATCAAATACATCAACGTTTGATACATTCATCGTATGTTTTCAATTCTTAACTCAAAAAAGATGGAAGCCTAATGTGGGTATGATCTATTCAATTATTTCCATTTAATCATTTTAATATTTTAGACAACATTTTGGTGGAATCTTAAATGTTTATTATACATTGATCATATATTACAGCAAAATTGGGTTTATAGGACACCCTCAATCTCTAAGTGTTTCAATAGATCGTTTTATAAGACTTAATTTATAGGACTAAAGTATAAAACGTCCTATCTAAAGGCGTTGTAATAAGTTTATATGACGCTTTTGGGCGTCTTAACAAGTTTTTTTAAGGACATCTTTAATACAAAATGTCGCATTTTCAAATAGTGTCCTATAAAGTTGATAATGAGACACTTTATATTAAAAGTGTCCTTAAAAACTTATTATGACATCAAAAAAAGGTCATATAAACTTAATACAACACGGTTAGATAGGACACTTTATTTTTTTGGTCCTATAAACTAAGTCTTATAAAGAGGTCTATTAGGACGCTTACAATTTGGGAGTGTCCTATAAACCCGTGATAATATATGAGCTCGACCCTAATACAACAAGGGTTCAAATACATAGTGTGTGACCCAAATTCGAAGCCTGACATAGTTTTTTGATACAAACACAACGAACATTTAAAATGGTAATGACATGAATTTTGGCTACTCATACCTGCAATAGCAACACATAGCCAAATCCGATGGTCATTTGGAAATGAACTAGAACATGTTGGAAAGATGAATCACCATTTCAAGTACTTTTATGATACGGTTTTCGGAGTTAAATGTGACAAGACCCAACTTGAATATTACTGCCTTCAAGGGCAACCAAGATTTTTGTGACCGTAGGGTGCGTATGTGCAATACCCCATCGTACAAGTATTTTGAGTCCTGACACTCTACTGTGATTACAATAAGAAGAGTCATTATAGACATAACAACAATTGGATAGCGTTKGGTATACGATGGTTGAGTTATTTTTACAAAGTGTTGGCTTTCGGCAGTTTCGTTTTTAATAATTAGAGTTTTGAGTTTGGATCGTACATAAGYTGCAATAATTAAACAACACAAATGTGAAGGACCATCAAAATAATATATTACTTTTATTCACTTTTTGATATAACAAGACGAAGATGAAACAAATACATATCAAGAAGYTGGAAATTGTAGGTTAATGAAATCAACAATCAAAGATGACATCAAAGTCTAGAATTTCGATTGAATTTGATAAACGACGTTCTTGTCCACTTGGAATGCCTTTGCAAGAATATCTGCRTTGATATCTGGGTTTGATCCAAACACAGCATTTGCGATGGTAATGACACCGGGGTTTTGGCTGCTCAAACCTGCAATGGCAACAGCATAGCCATGTCCGACGTTCCTTTGGAAGTGAATTAGACCTTGTGGGAACACAAAAACATCACCTATTTCAAGTACTTTCGTCAAGAGACGGTTGTCAAGCTGGTTAGATGTTACAAAACCAACCTCAAGACTACCACTCATGACAACCAAGATTTCAGTGGCCCGAGGGTGCGTATGAGGAGGGTTAATACCATCTGGTGCAAAGTCGATACGAGCCATTGAAATACCAAAAGTGTTGAGTCCTGGTAACTCTGCTACAGTCACGGCAGTCACGTTCGATCCAACCCCCATCGATGTATCTCCCATAAGATTGAGCCCACGAAAAAGGAAATCATCAGGTTTCACAAGATTTGGATCTTTACACACCACACCATTCACGA